CCATATTGCATCTAATGGGTGCCGCCTTTTTGGACTCGCTCTTTGGGGTCCTAGATCTCCCCAAGGGCGGGACTTCCTTGCGGCTGGTTGGACACTGGAGGCCTGGCTCACCCAGGACTGACCTGACAACGCTTCAGAGAATCCGGCTCAGTATGGAGTGACCGGTGCTTCCTGAGGGGGAGGACCGCCTCTGGCAAAGCCATTTCCACAGGCGCTCAGAACCTGTGCCCCTTTTAGGACAACAGCTAAGTAACTCGCCAGGGATGAGTCTGCATAAGTGAGGGGCCGGAGCCCCAGATGCTGCGCCCGGGGGGAGGCAGGTGTGCAGGGGTGATCACGGGGACACGCTGCAGCTGCCGGGACAGGGAGGGCAGGAGGGCTCCTGGAGAAGGAGGATGAACAGAACACGATCAGCCCCTGAACTTCTCTCCCCTAATCTCTCAGGTCCTGACCCTCGGCCAGTGTGGGAAGGGGAGAGGGGAGGCAAGGCCTCAAACAGCAGAGCACATAAACTTAAAAAGGGGAGTTTCCTTCGCTGGAACTTTATTTTTGTCTGTGGCGGGTAGGAAGATGTTGTCCCTGCTGAGTCTTCTCATCATAAACACCGAGGGCTGTGCAAGAAAAAGCATGGCCAGGAAGCAATGGCTTCTGTCGTGACACTGATGTGAATACCTGACTCCGTATCTTTGGTCCTAATCTACTACGGGCAGCAGTCCTGCTCTCAGGTGAGAGTGACAGCACCACCTAAACCTGGACTTGGCACAAACGCTAAAATAAAGATGGGAACCTATTCAGGGATTCGTTATTATCCTGCATCTGAAGGACTGTGATGCACTGTGCTCAGCAGTTTAAACACTGAAAGGTTTCACAGACGGAAATGTTTATCAGGCTCTGAACAGTTAACGTCCGCCTGCCCCGCCTCCCCTCCCATTATGTTCACCCTTCTTAATATTTCAACACGGTGGCTGCTTACAGCACATGAGGAAAAGCTGACACAAGCCTTTGGCCAATAAAATAAAACATTTTGGCTTATTTACATTTTTGCTTTGTTAGTAAACTGGAATGGCTGGCTCCGGCAGCGAGACCAGTGAGATGAACATGCACTAAATCCTGCCACGCGGTGCTGCGTCAGCTTCTGCTGTGCGAGGACCATCAGGCCCCGAGGAGACCCACACGAGACAGTCACGCCCCAACAGTTTGTCCTCCTTAACCAAAGACAAGCACTGGAGGGTGTCACCCAGGAAGCGGCATCAGCATAGAGTGATGGGGTGATTTCTTAGAAGGGAAAAAAGGGTTACTATCATACATTTCAGAAGCAACTGCATCGAGTTTGGATTTGCTTGATTTAAATGTGTTTGTATCTACGTGCACATTACCAATTAAAAAGAGAGACACGTTTCATTTCTTTCTCTAAATAGAAATACACTGGTATAAAGGAGGGAGAAATGCAAACAACAAGTGAAAAGAGGAAGACTGACAATGGCCTGGGGGGACTGTATCCTCAAATGCTTGTTTACATTGAACACCCAGGGCTGCGTTCCCTACCTTCTAACTACAGGCGCTGCAATGCTGGAGCCCAGCAGCGTGCAAACAAAAGGAGACATCCATGTGGCCACTCACCACAGCCAATCTCCATCCTGCTCTGCAAAGAAGGCAGGAAGGAAAGCCCCGCTGAGTGAGGGACGTGCCAGGCGAGCGGTGCCAGTGTGTCACAGCGGTTGTTCCCATGACACTCAGTGTTGTGAGGCGGCATGATAGGAGGGCACATTTGCAGTGGGCGGAGGGACGGTTTAACAGGCAAGAAACAGATTCAGCCACTTGGGATGCTTTCCTGGGCTTTGTTTATCTAGCCTCTGATACTTCTCCTTAGCTGTCAATCTCATTTACCAGGGCAGAGATGGAGGAAAATGATGCTCTTTTTCAGCAAACCCTGGGAAAGCAACACGAGGAAGAACCCCCACAACATTTTGGCTTTCCCTCACCCCAGCTATCAGCTACACAACAGCTGCGCATTTTAACAATGACTGCATGGAGACAATGATTGAGAGAGCCAATCTGTGACACATGGAGAGGCAGCAGCAAGATATGGTGGGAGGTAATGGGAGAGAAGTGAGGTCAGAAAACACAAGTTAGTTCTGGGAATGAGAGGAAGGAAGGGGGAGAAAAGAAAGCAAAAGGCTACATACAGAAAAATACAGGGAAATTCCAAACAGATGTTCCCAAAGCAGCAGTTTGCACATCTTGCCCTGGGTGGGAAACCAGGCGATTGCTCCCTGACCTTTTTTTTTTTTTTAAAATATATTTTTATTAATTTCAGAGAGGAAGGGAGAGGGAGAGAGAGAATCATTCATTGGCTGCTTCCTGCACACCCCCCACCGGGGATCGAGCCTGAAACCTGGGCATGTACCCTGACCAGAATCGAACCCGGGACCCTTCAGTCCCCAGGCTGACGCTCTATCCACTAAGCCAAACCAGCCAGGGCCTCCCTGACATTTTTATTTCATTGGTACAGACTCAGAAACAAATGACAATGTAGGCCCTGAGCAGTTAGCTTCCCAACACAAGTTTAAAATACAAACTATACACTTTAAGCATATCCAAGGAGGCTGGATGCTCTCTATTGAAAACCTGCTTTCCCAAGAAGTTAGCGAGAGAATGAGCTCGGTAGGTGCTGCCCTGCGGTGATGAGGAGCAGCCTCGTCCGCGATGGAAGCGCAGCCCACCGACCAGCCTGGATCCTGCACACGACACAACCGAGCAGCGGACTCCGACCAACTCCCCCCCCTGCTGAGCCACCTCCTCTACAACATGTAGCAGCACAGGTCCCAGTGAGTTCTCGTGTTGGGGCATGTGTTCTATAGCGCATCAAAATTCAAACAGGGAAATTTTACAGTTTCAAAATCCCCGTCTGGAATGATAAACCTATGGATAAAACTATCAGACTGTGAACTACCCATGTCAGGGATTTTAAATGAAAAACTGTAATGTCTTTACCTCAGAAATGTCTTCATTTAGGATTAGGAAAAGTCCTTTGACCCAATTCAAAAAGGAGGAGTGAGTTCCTCTTTTGACAAATACAGTAATTTACATAGAACTTTCCAATGTTTAGGTAGGTGATTCCTCAAAAACCATCTCAGTACCAAAATCTGCCTAAGGAATTCTGAAATAGAGAGTAATCACAGCTTTAAAATGTTAAAAGCAGACAAGCCCAGGTTTCAATTACCATGAGGACAAATATTTTTGAAAGAAAGGTGACATCAAACTGCCTCAATCAAAATGTATTAAAATTATATCTATATCCAAAATATGGATGATTCTTAGAAACATAATGTAGTCAAAACAGCCACTGTAGACGACCATGTGCGGCATGGGTGACCGTATGTCCTGACTTGCTCGGATCTCCCTGGTTTATGCCCGTTGTCCTCCTGCAATTATTAATAGCAACGCTTACCTGCTCCAAAGTGTGTCTCTCAGCTTGGATGATATGTTATATAGTCATTCTAAATACAATACAATTCTATAAAGCTCAAAATTAAATAAAACTAACAATATATACTCTATAGAAGTTTGTAATAAAATTCTTTAAAATCCCCCAAACCGAAGAGAATGATTAAAAATACACAGAGAACATCCAAGGCAGGGAGATGCACAGGGCTGGAGATAATGCAGGAACACACATGCAGATGTGCCATCGACAATAAACACTCCAATCCTAAAACTGCAGAGTGGGCTCACAAACATTCATCCAATAGTTATGTTTCATAATTAGCATGTTACATATGTGCATATATACGTTCATACACACATAACACATCCCATAATAAAGATTAGAAAAAAAAAAGGTGTAGCCCTGGTGGGGTGGCTCAATTGGTTGGACCGTCATCCTGTAGATCATAAGGTTGCCCATTCCATTCTGGTCAGGGTACATACCTAGACTGCAGGTTTGATACCTGGTGGGGGCACGTATAGGAAGCAACCGATCGATGTTTCTCTCTCACATCTCTCTCTCTGTCTCTCCCCCTTACCCTCTCTCTAAAATCAGTAAAATTTATTCTTGGGTGAGGATTAAAAAATAATTCATAAAAAAGGTATAAAATGGTAAAAAGGGTAAAAACTTCCATCCATACTTTCAAGATAATAGAATAAACTATCAGAAAATTTATCTGCAGTCCAATATCAATTCTGGTAGGTTAGTAAAAAGTGCTTTCTGGCAGCCGTCTACATCATGTTAGCAACATTTACACAGAAAAAAATGGCATCTACTTTGCTGATAAAGGAAAGCTTACTGCTTGGTGGGTCTGAATGAATGAAGTTCAATCTAAGAAAGAAGGATGAGGATGAGGCAAACGACAAACAAATAAATAAATAATCCTGAGCACACAATACAGGAAGCAAAAGATACAGAAATAGTAGGACCACTGAAATAGCTGAGTCAAGAGTTAGTTCACCGGAACACAAACGTCTTACGTCAAAATTAGAAGGTAATGTTTGTATCAGTAACAAGGCCTTGAGTGTATGCTGGCAAATTATGACACTGATAAGTATAAACACTATATCTATTTTAGAAAATAACTGCCACAGTATAAGTTAAATAGGACCTAAAAACTAAGGCCAATACTCGTCAATAATCTCACCCTTAGCGGCACTAATCAACAGAGATCTTATTTAACAGAATCATTACTAAACATATGCTAAGAGAAAAGAAGTAATTTCCTGGCATAAGTTTAGGCAAATGGGCAAACTGAAGATATCGGCGTGATTGGTGATTTTATTAATTGGGTGTTTATATTCATTAGTTGAATACCTTTAGGAACTGGGACTCTCGAACGCTTTGGTCATAATTCACAAAGTTATGCTCCTAATACGTGGTCCCATCACTAGATTTTTAAATAGCAACAATACAAAACAAAACCCCAAAACAATGGGATGTATATTGCTCTTGATGAACATGAGCTGTCTTTCCTTCAGAGTAAAAGCATGGTTATTTCGAAAGGGAATACCTGGAATACTTGCAGGAGAAATTGGGCCTGATCGTGACTGGTTGCTTCCTACAGGCGAGCCCACGGGAGAAGGCGATGGGCCCCCGGGGATGCTGGAGAGATGGGGGGATGCGTGTGGAGAGAAAGGCGACTGGGCCGGGTTGCTCTGATCCCCTTGGCTGCTCGTGGAGCCCGATGCACTGACTGCAGAGCTCAGGGTTGCTTCCGTTCCCGTGGGGAGGTCGTCAATGGAGCCTGACAGGTCCTGCGAAAGGAAGACAGCATGGATTTATAGAGGAACCTGTTCGGACCAACACCTGGTCAAAACCATTTGGAAATCATAACCACACCCCTCAGCAATGAAGTTTTCCTAGATAACACCCAAAATTCAGAGCATGGCCACTGTTATTAGAACACTTTACTCTCATAAGTTGAACCCATAAGATCTGATCTATCCTAAGAAGTGAGTAAAGTTGTACGCCATAAAACCATCCTACAAGCTTTGCTTTAAGCTGTCAGCTGGGCCAAACATTTTTAAATGACAAAAAAAAAAAAATCAAAAGAGTACTATTTTGCAATATATGAGAAATATTTGAAATTCAAATGTCAGTGCCTGTAATGTTTCAGTGGCGCACGGCCACGGCCATCCCTCTGCCTGTGGCTGCTCTCGGGCCACAGGGAGAGCAGCTGAGACAGAGCGCGTGGCCTGCAGGCGGGAGTATCAGCTGTCTGGCCCCGCAGCAAGAGCATGCGGCCAGTTAGAGCGCGGGTCCCAGCACAGCCTCCCTGCACGGCCCCCTCCTCAGGGAGGAGGGTGATTCCGGCCCAGTGCACAGTGATGAGTGTGCAGAGCTCCCCCAAGATGGGACTGACCCCACACCAACGTCTCCCTGGAAAGCGCCGGTGGGGGCCAGAGAGAACCTCACTGTCTCTGAAGGTGCCAACAGCCCTGGGAGCCCTGGGAGGGGAGTGTGGGCCCCACGTGGAGATGCGCTCTCCAATACCCACTGTGCACCAATACGAAACAAAGGCTCAATCAGACAAAATCATTTGAGAGGAAATATGCTTTTTGTGCTTTTTTAGAGGAAAAGAATTGGTCAATAACTAGATATAAAACCATGAAATTAAACACAGAAAAAAGACTTAACTTTTAAAAAATCATTAGATTCAATTGAAAAAATACTGAAGTAATTTTATGCAAATCTTTCTTCATAAAAAACGAATGGTTACTTTGAAATTTTTAAAATTCTCTGCACGACCTATAAATTCCTTCTTGTCCTCCCTTAAAATTCCACGTTCTGGTTGAGAAAGCGACTCGGATGGGTGTTCAGAGAGCACCGTTCAGGCAGCAAAGGCACGAAAGGCATCTCTGCTGTTCACCCGGCTGATCAAGGCAATTCCAAGAGAAACATAAAAACGGTGGCTTTCTCAGTGCTCACGTGTCATCAGAATTTCAGAGCTGACTAGACTCAGTGCAACAGAGGAGCAGTAAAGAGATATAATTCTATATTGCTGTTACACACACGCGTAACTTTTATATGTAAATTATGGAGAAATATTCCCGCCCTGCAGACATTAGGCATCCATATGTATAGCTATCTTACAACACGTTAATAAAAGAAGTTCAACAGTGGTTTAAACTTCCAGCCTCGTTAACAAAGAAGCTGTGTAACTAACACTCCTCTGGAGGACAATTGAGTCAGCAGGACACCGACTCCATTCTTCTTTTGTAAGCAGATCTATGACGCCTGCGAAGAACAGAACAGAGACCACACCGACCGAGGCACCTTCAAGCTACACTGCTCCCATTCACCCTGGGGAGCTGGCAGGGCAGGTAATGGCAGGGAGGTCGCTTCCAGGGGCCGGAGCCCCCACCCCAGCATTCCTTACATCCTTCCCCTTCGTGACGAGTGAGGGGAAGGCAGACTCCTGGGCTCATGCACAGTACATCAGTATTTTACCATGACAGTGTGGTTTGGCAAAATTGGGTTTTCAATATCTGAAATTACTCGGAATACAAAATGCCTTCCAGCACACCAAAAATAATATAACTCCTACCACTAATGGTTCATTTATTTTTAGAAAATCCGTGCTTAAAAAAGGTTTGTTTTACTTTAAATTTAAATGAAAGTTTTCTGCAAAGACTTTCCTCTGTAACCATTATCCCTCCACCCTGCTCATGTACAATTTTCATTCTAACCCAAGTGCCAAGTACAAGAGATTTTACTGTGCTTAGAATGAAATGCCACTGGGAGCAATAGCAATCCTACCAGATTCTGACAGGGGAAACGCTTATGAATTAGCACAGAGCACAAACAGGTATGTCCCTGATTCAATGCAGTGTGACAGGGTGGATGACACAGGAATGTACATGGGCACATGCCACCAAGAAGAATTTTTAAAGATCTACATATAAGTAAAATAGACATACAATATTACATATACAGACTGTATATGCTCCTCCTGAAAAATTAGCATTAATACATTATCACTTACTACCTCAAAGACATCTTTTGTTTTGATGTTACTTGATTTATCTAATAAGTTAGTTTATTCAAATATAAAATCAGTCACTGCTGGGAATGTCTTACTATCCTAAAGCACTGGGAATAAGTTGGAAAATTCTCCTCCCTTGCTTAATTAAATAAGTGGGCTTTTTAAAAAGCACACCAACTTCAAAATACTCTGCGTTGTGGCCTCGTCACTGAGAGAACTGCAGGGCTGCGCACATGTGGGCATCTGCTCAGAGGCGCCCCGGGAGAGCAGGAGGATAAACACTGCGTTAGAAACAGGCGATATTTCAATCAATGAGACCACGCAGGTCTCTGGTTTAAGGGTTTTAATAGGACACAGTTAATGATTTCTCTTGTGACTTCCCCTGGGTTTGAGGCACAGGTTAAGATGCCAGCCCAATGGTCTTTAGAAAAGTCTCTCATTCATTTTCAGAAGCAGAACTAGTATCTATTCTCCTCCTTAGAATACTAAGTATGAAATTCAGGTGGCAGTTTTCTTTTTCTCTCTCCAACTAGAGTCTACCCTACCTTTCTGAAAGGCAGGGACTCTGTGGGAGCTGTGGCGCTAAAGAGGACAGACTGACTGTCACTGAATGACAAGCTTCCTAGTAACTACAGCTGCAAACACTACACCAGGAAGCCAGCCCGTGTCAATATTTCTAAATATTTACCACCAATGCTCTGCTGAAAACTACTGACTTCGCTATTAAAATTTAGCCATGAATTCTCAGCCCTGTTCCCAATGACCATCCTGGAGGCCAAGCATCCAGTGTCATTAGATACTCGATTCTCTAGAAACACACTGTGAAGTCACTTCATGCCCCACCTTATTTCAGAGCTATCATTTGCACATGAGACACAAGTACACCCTGAAACCGATATTAGAATTGAGCCACTAATTTGACTGACATATATACACAAAAGGAAAAATATTTCACGATGACTGTTTAGAGGCTTCTTTTCAGCACACACCTATGTGTGATAAACAGTGTATTTCAAACCCTCGCCCCCCCAAAGTCCCTGCTGCTTTCATTTGTCTAGACAGCAAATGACTTAAAAGCTTTGACCTCCTGTCTCAATGAACTAAAAATTGCAAAGGCACAGAAAAGCAGAATCTACGAGGAAAATCTTTAAAGCACCAATTTTTAGGCTTAAAACATTTTCTTTCCAAGATGCTTTATATATCCTACTTTCTATTTAAACGTGTGCAAATAACAAATATTTAACTCTTCCTCACATTTGACAATGCGTGCAAGGCGTAGTCTTAAGATGTGTGAGGTCAATTGGTAAAATAACGTTTGATGTTAATTTAAAAACAGTGATAAGCAAACAATAAAATAAAATAAATGAAAGCAGTCATAAGCTCCTTAAAAATATTCATAAGCTTCACAAATGACAATCTCATATCCAAAGCCAGGGCTAACACAAGGATAACTAATGAGTCAAATATTCACTTTAAGAGAGGTAGTCATGAGCCACTTTTTGGGGAAATGGCTTCCACCTGATTCACTCCCATTCTTTCTCAAGCAAATACAGTGGGGCCTTGACTTACGAGTGTCCCGACTAACCGACTAACGAGTTTTTTGAGATACCAGCTGTCTCTCGGCCGATTTTTTGCATTGAGTTGACAGAGTAATTTGAGTTAACGAGCTCCTTAACGAGCTCGGTCTCGGAACGAATTAAACTCGTAAGTCAAGGCCCCACTGTATTCCATTCTGGGAACTCACTTTAGGAGGACATTTATAGGATAACCAGCTAAAGTGATACTTGACAGAAGAAGAATTCAGAGTGAAGCATACTCTCATAAGTAAAAATATTATAATGGTTATACTTCCTTTTGATTTTTAAAAATCAGCACCTAAAATTAAAAGCTAGCCTCAAAGGTCCTTGGGTTAAATCTCCCGATAGGAAATGTGCTGCCGTTCTAAACTTAGCATTGGTAAACAATATGAGTATGAAATATGCATGGTGCAGGGAATGTTTTTCCACTGCACGGGCCTCAGGGGGACCCTAAATTATTCTGTTTTGAACTCTGCCCAGGGATTCTCTGCTCTCCCACTATTAGCCGTCTTGCTGTTATGTAGGCTCGGAAGAACCACACACAGACCCTTTCACACAGTCCGGCAGTCTTGAACTTAAACATAATTTGGTAAGAACATGTATTTATAGTTTTCTTTTGGTTGTATGGTATTTGGGATTAAGGTTCATCTGGAAATAACGTACCCTCTGGTCACACGCTTAGGACCCCTCACAATGGCAATGATGATGAGCAGGGTCAGGACGATTTTAAGCAACGACTGTGCCGCCATGGCTTTAGCACCTCCTCAGTACCACAGACAGTGGGTACCGCTTCTTACGTGAGGAGACCACAGCATCTTGTTAGCTCCCGTCCATGGTTCCTACCGGCCCAAATGTTCAACTGATGTCACCACCTTGAGCCAAGCCCTCTCCTGACCACAAGTCAAGGCCCAAGTCAGAGCTGAAACACTAAAAAAGGCTCATGTATGAGCAGCTGCTGCCTTCACTATTCCAGGAGCAACGGCATTTTAAAGAATACACGTATTAATACAAATTACAGACCACTGTGAAATGAAAGCTATAGGGGGCGGGAGGGGGTATTTGCACGGAGAGGCAGCTCAGGCAGGCGCGCCTAGCTAAGGTTCGCAGGTGGAGCCATGGGATGGTGCTTGGTAGGAGGAGGTGGAGGAAAAGGTAGAGGGCAGCTTTTACACAAAGACTACATTTTATATTT